TCGATATCCTTGCGGAGGGAGGCGACCTCCGCCGCGAGGAACTCGGCGCGGCTCGGGTGCGCCGCCGCAAATCCGTGCTGCTGGAAGCGCCATATCATCCACGCTCGGAGGCAAGCGTATGTGTTCACCGGGATGTCCGCGGCCCCGTCGTACGGCTTCGTCTTCAATGTCTTGCTCATATGTCGAGTGCCCATTCCGCCGTCGTCCACGTCTTTGCACCAGGTCGAGAGGATCTTGATTTTCGCGTTCGGGTAATCATCGTGGTTCTGTAGCGTAAAGTACAAGTTGCGCCACACTGTGAAGGTGTCCTTCGCGTGCGCCGGCGCGCCCGCCCCACCCCCGTCCTCTTCGGAATCGGAAGAGGAGGAGGACGACGAAGACGACGAACTCGACGACGAGGAGCTGGACGACTCCTCGGCGAGGTCTTCGGCGGCTGACTCTGGGTCGGAGCACACGCTGGCCACGTCGCTCGCGTCACTGGCCCAGACCACTTCGTCGTCGTCGCCGTCCTCGGCGCCAGCCTTCGCCTCGGGCTCATCCTTAGCCGCGCCGGGCGGGTGCTCGACGGCCGCCTGCTCGTCGACCCGCAGCTCGACCTCGTCGGCGGACACTTTGACGACGCTCGCGCGGAGCCGAGTCAACTCACACCCTTCGTTGCGCACGGACACGCCGCGTGCCTCCAGCAGCGCGACGGCTGGCCCGAATGCGCTGACGAAGCCAGCCTTCACGTTGAGCGTCATCGACCTGCCCTGCCTCGGAAGGAAGATTGCCCACGCTTCCTGCCAAATAGAGAAAGCGAAGAAAGTGCACTTCTGGTCTCCTGTGTCCAAGCAGTACACTCCAGGAGGCTGCGAGGCAAGCAAGCGACTCCAAGCACACCCCGTTTCGACCGTGCGCTGGGGCAGCAGACGCGGGCCATCTGGCACGTCAGCCCACGGCGCAACTCGCGCGTTCAGCGGCCTCCTCTGCGCTGTCGCGTTGGCCAGGTGCTCGCGGAAGGTAGAGTCGTTGTCTTGGAGCCACTGGAGCCACTGCGAGTTTGTCACAGGCATGACAGGGGCCTCGTTCTGCAAACGGGCGAGCAATGCCTCCGCCCGCCTGCGCACCTCGGCGGCCTCGGCCTTCAGCGCCTCGCCGTGATCCCGCATGTACTCGTTTTGCCGCTGTTTGTCTGCGGGCTGCACAGTCGCGCTGGCCTCGGCGTCCGTGATGCCCCGCTCCCAGTGCAGCTTCCCGCGGGGGCGCTTGAAGAGTTCGGGGGCTCGCTGTTTCGCCAGAGCCGGGGCGTTCATGAACTTATCCTTCTCGGCCTGCTTGATGACATCGATGGACTCGCAGACGGTGCGCTGCCTGTTGACGTGAACCCTCTGCAGGATGCCGTTGCGACTGCACTTTGCCAGGCCGCTCGAGCGCGACGTCTCGTTTCTCTTCACTGCACTGTGGGCGCGCTCAGCGTCCAGGCTGTTGCCGTCGCAGGCGAAGAAGAAGTCTTTCAGCTCTGTCTGGATGGCGTCTGACAGCAGCCACGACTGAGCTTCGGCCTCCGAGCGGCCACGCAGAGCCTCGCGCCGCAAGCGCAACGAGAAACCTGCATCGAGACGACTCTCGGGCTGCAGAAGGAATCGCGTGACCTCCAGATTAAGGCTGTAGAACTCAGAGTTGAATTCGCGCACGATCTTCCACAGACGCAAAGGGTATTCTGCGTATTGGCTAAAGCGGGCCACTATGTGTCCCTGCGTCAGCAGCAGTCCATACAACGCGTCGGCAATATCTAACGCCGGGTCGTGGCCCAGCAGGGGAATCATCACCTGCAAGTCGCGGGAAGTGGCAGCTTGCACGTCCCCCTGCGCCAACCGCAGCAGGAGAGGCTTTCGGTGCTCCTCAATGCTCTTCTTTGTCTGCCCCGTAATCGACGTGGCGTGTTGCGTCAGGCGCAAGCACAAGCTCGCCTTGCGCAGCAGGCGGCCGCAGTCCTCCTGGGAAAAGAAATTCTTGACAGACGTCAGACGCTTTTGATTCTCCTCTTGAGGCTTGGTCATGCTCAACGTAAATATTTTGTCAGCTGGCAACCCCAGCAACACGAACCGAAGAAGTGTGAACACTGCGTCCGTGAACAGCCAGAACCTTGTGACGATCGGCTTGCTCTCGAGTTTGAACAAGTGCTTGTACAAGAGATCGTACGCCCTGCGGCGGATATCCGCCTCGCTCGCCCCAGGGCGCGCAGCAGTCCTGAAAGCGCCAATGCCAGTATTGAAAAACTCGAGCACATCGTCTGGCAGGGCACGCTTGCCGTACAGCTGTTGGAGCCTTCGGTTGCTTTCCTTTCCCCGCGCTACGTCGTCGACAACGTCGTCGGCTGGGGCGACGACCAGCCGATCCACGATGTAACGTCGCAGAGCAGACGCGAACTCTTCCAAATAATCTGTCAGGAGATACCGGAATAGCCGCACGCATGTCCCTGTCAACGGGTCGTTCCTTTCGGGGTTGCCCCCTAGTTTGCCTGCGATAGCCACATTGACCACGAGGTTGCTCTGATGCGAGGATCGGGTCGGGCGAAAGGGGGGGATAGCAAAGGGGGGGTTTGAGAATCAGCTCACGTAGCTGATTCTCCCGGCGCCACCCGGCGCCGGAGGCGGCCATGTATCGAGGAATGGGCCCCTCGGAGAGGCCGAAACCAGCTGCATGCAGCAAATTTCGTAACCCCCCCTTTCCCAATCCCCCCCTTTCGCCCGGCCCGAGAGGAACATTTGAACAGCACCATGAATAATTGAATATTCATATCTTGATGGTGTTGACAAAAATACTGGTACACACGGCGAGCCGCCGCGCCATTGGTGCCAATTCCATCCCCCATCAAAATGTACACAATCCGAACGCGCCCGCTGGGCCAGGCCCCCGCGCAGGTCCGCACAACCGGCATGATCGTGCTCAGAAGTGAGGTGGAAATTGACGCAGCATCTTTTCGATGCAAAGCCTGGAGTTCGCACAGCACGGGCGTGGCATGACCATGGCAGGACACGCTCACCACATGGTTTTGGACCTTACTTGAACGCCCCCGGCAAAGGTTGCCTGGGATGTCGTAAGTGGCAGAGGTCTCCGAGGCGTAGCTCTTCATCCTCATGAGAGCTTCGTCGTGCGTGTGCCGGATCATGACTGTTGCGCCAGGGCCGCCCTCTGATTTGACCAAGTTGTGGATTTGAGTCTTGTTCATTGTTTTTAATATCTCGCAAAACGCATCTCTGGTTTTGCTGACTGTGTACTTCGATATACGCTTGGCTTCTTTCATACCAAAGTCGCGGCACAGTGACGACAATGACTGGGCAGGGATGGATGGGGGAGCCATCAGGACTCGGACAAACCATATGGGTTGTATGCAATTGGAGACACGGTCGCCCTGCATGAGCAATAACGAATTCTCGGCGCGTGCCCTTTGGGATTTCTGATGTTTCAAAGATCTCTTCAAACTTTGCTCAAACGCCTCCCCAGCAAGCCGTTTGCGGCCGCGCTTCCCAGGGGTGTCGAAATCGTCATCCAAAGCCGCCAACAAACTCTGAGCCTTCTGGACAACAGCTTCATTCTGATCATCTGGGCTACCCCCTTGGAGCCTTTCAACCAAGGCTCCGACGGCAGAGCGTGCCCGGGACACGAGCGTGGCAAGCAAAGCCATGCGTCCAATGCGTATCAACACCCCACCTGGCGACTACGGCCAAGCGGCTGGTCAAAACTCGGCGGCGCGCCGAGGGGGGTACGGGGAGGGGGGGAGGCTTCTTAGAAACCATGGTGCTTTTCAGAAACCCTCGGGTGCCTTCTAAGAAGCCCTCGGGAAGGGGCCTCTGAGAAACACCCTGCTTTCTAAGAAACCTCCCCCCCTCCACCCACCCCCCTCGGCGCGCCGCCGAAAAACTTGAGCACAAATCACGCTTGTTTGGGCCACAATGGCTACCGATACAAGTCCGATCCCCTGACCCTCTTCCTATGACTCTGGATTGGCGCGTTGACGCTCCCCATTGACGCTCCCATTGAAGTTGACTCTCTGCGTTGACGCTCCCCATTGACAGTCCCATCGAAGTTGACTCCCCGCGTTGATGCTCCCCATTGACGCTCCCATCGAAGTTGACTCTCGAAGATTCCCATCGAAGTTGACTCTCGAAGTTGACGCTCCCCATTGACGCTCCCATCGAAGTCGACTCTCGAAAATGACGCTCCCCATTGACGCTCCCATCGAAGTTGACTCTCGAAGTTGACGCCCCCCATTGACGCTCCCATCGAAGTTGACTCTCGAAGTTGACGCTCCCCATCGACGCTTCCATCGAAGTTGACTCTCGAAGTTGACGCTCCCCATTGACGCTCCCATCGAAGTTGACTCTCGAAGTTGACGCTCCGCGTTGGCGCTATTCTGCAGTGGGGAGGCGAAGCAACCCCTTACCTGAATGCAATTGATAGATTTCATGAACAGACCTCCCAGCCACCCCAACCCTGCACACAGCGGCCGCCAGACACCCTGTTGCCACAGGGCACCGACCACAGGGTACCACTCCTAGGGCACCGACGCACGAGCGGCCGACCGCGACATGGCGCACCCAGCGCATAGGGCGCCAACCATCCTCACGCCCTCCGCGGCCACACGCTGCGCGCGCTGCTGTTACAGCGGCCCCGCCGGACCTCCTCGTCCTCCTCCTCCTCCTCCTCCTCCTCCTCCGCCTCCTCCGCCTCCTCCTTCTTTCCGCGAGGACGGGGGCGACGAGGAGGGCGTCGGCGAAGGTTTCGGTGGGGATCGCTCGAACCAAAGTGTTTTGTCCCCCCTCTCCCCCCATAGCAAAGATGAATGCCCCCGACCTCGCAGATTGCATACCACTACAGCAGGGCTGCGCCGAAACGTGAGACGGAGAAGCGAATGGCGGACGCCAACTCGCTCGCGTCCTCGTGCAGAGCGTACGACGTGGGAGCAAGAAATCAATTTCGAAGATGGGGTCGAGAGCCTCTGCAGACCTCCAGGAGCGGGTATCCGCAAGAAATCCACATCGAGGACGGGGTCGAGAGCTTCCGGTGACGTCCAGGAGACGTCGCATACACGTATGGGGTCGAGAGCCTCCGAAGACCTCCAGGGGCGGGGATTCGCGCGAAATCACCGTCGCAGATGCGGTCGAGAACCTCCGACGACCTTCACGAGCCGAGATCCACACGAAATCAACGTCGAAGATGGGGTCGAGAGCCCAGGAGGACCTCCAAGAACGGATATCCGCGCGAAATCAACATCGAAGATGGTGTCGAGAGCCTCCGAAGCCCTCCAGGAGCGGAGATCTTCGCGAAATCAATTGTCCGAGATGGGGTCGAGAGCCTCCGGGGACCTCCACGAGCGGAAATCCGCACGAAATCACCGTCGCAGATGGGGTCGAGAGCCTCCGACGACCTCCTGCAGGAGCGGAGGCCCGTGCGAAATCAACATCGAAGATGGGATCGAGAGCCTCCGAGGGAGTCCAGGGGCGAGAAGCGGAAGAGTATAGGAGAAGAGGAAGGCTAAACACCAGGAGGGGGGAGCTGTAAGATGGAACTTTTTCACGCTGCTCTTGAGCCCTTTCGCCCTACCAGGGTACCAGGGTGGTGGCGAGTGCACGCACCGCCTCTTCTGGCGAGCACCGCGCTCAGCCACCAGACACAGACGGACAGACGACGACAGACGACTGACAAGAGGAGAGGAGGAGAGGGGCGAAGTCTTCCGCTCCTCCCAGGGAGCCCACCAGCCATGAATGCCCATTGCATGGGGAAGCCAGGACGCCACGAGGCTAAGAAGGGGCATAGGGATGCTCCTCGAATTTGCACACCTCACAAATCTGCGACTTAGAGGCGGCGAAATCAATGTGGATGATGGGGTCGAGAACCTCCGAAGACCTCCAGGAGCGGAGATCCGCGCGAAATCAAATGTCCGAGATGGGGTCGAGAGCCTCCGGGGACCTCCAGGAGCATATATGATGATGATGATAATGCTGATGATGATGACGTTGTTGATGATGATGATGATGATGATGATGATGATGATGATGATGATGATGGCGTTCCTTCTCTTTCTTGAGCATGACCGCGCGCTGTCCAGCCAACCAAATGACACCAAGATGCCTCAGAGGACGGAGGAGGAAGAAGAGAGGATAATACTGAGCACCACAGGCAGGGAACGCTAACGAACACTATCGGAACGCTAAAACACAATAAAGCCCAGAATAACAAGACATACAAGGCTCCCATGAGTTGCCACAGAACCTGTTATTCTTGTCCAGCGACTGCTTCCTGCCCAGTCTCTTAGCGAAGCCGGTCCACGCAACGAACAGCACCTCCTCGACTCCGTCGTCGGCAACCAACTTCACAAGGGACGTGCAATCGCCCGTGATGGGACGAGCATTGCGAATATCCATTTCGGCTTTAGCGTTCTGGACGCGATCCTTGTTCTCGCGAACTGCGAGTGGTACCAGCGGGGCAGGGCCAGCTGGCTCGGGCCCCGCGTGGACGGCATCATCGAGGTCTGGTTCGGGCTCGTCGTCGGGAAGGCATGGGTCAGGTCCGGGCTCGATGCCATCTGGGTCCAACGGCTGGTCTTCGACGTGTTTCCCCCGCTCCTCATCCTGACGAGGTGCGACTGGATCGGCAGCATGCTCCTCGTCCTCTTCGACGCCCTCGATCTCCTCCAGCAACTCCTCCATCATCACGTCGAGGTCGACCTCTTCGCCGCCACCGTCCTCATCGTCATCGCCGCCTGCGCCTTCAAGAACATGATCGCCGTCTGCAGCTCCTGGTCGTGGACGCCGTGGCCTCTTCTTTCGCTTTGGGAGTTGCACAGCGTGTTCTCTGATGCCAGGTTGACCAATCCGACATGTCCTCAGAAATTTCGTAGGCCTCGAAAATGACACTGGGTACGCGGTCATTGTCAAAGTCCGAGGTGTTAAGGCCTCGGCTGTGAAATTCAGCTTGATCATGGCGTCGAGTGCCCGTGGCTGCATCGGATGCAGTAACTCCCATGCGAGCGTGCCATCGTCGTCGCGGTCCGTCATCTGGCACTCGATCGCGAAGACTCTCGCGTAGTACGCCCACCCGAACGCCGCGTAGAAGAACTCGCCGTTCACGGCCTCAACCTTGTACACCATCGATGCGTTGATGCTGTATTTCTCGTCCGCGCAAACCTTGCGGCAAACGACTGCGAGGGCGCGGCGCAAGAGGTCGTCTGGCTCGTCCAAGTCCTCGGCGCGGCCTGGGATTGGCGGGGGCGCGGCCTCCATGGGCTTCCTTACAACAATCTGGCAGAACTGGTTCGCGTGCTCTGAAGTCTTCGCGTGCTCCACAACAGCGTCGTGTTCTCGTTCGCATTCTCGAGCTGTGATCTTCTCACCGAAGCACATCGACATCCTCGCGTTCGCAAGCGATCGCCCCATGGCGGGAGCTCTGGTGAAGATACCCTGCAGCATCGAGTTCCTGCCCTCGAGATCCTGGGCCTGGAAGTCAAGCTTGCTTCGG